ACATTGACAGTTTGATTTTTGCGCACAGCATTTTGTCTTTGTACCCGTGTGTCGTTGGTGCTCACACTATATCTTCTTGTCGCTATTCGTTTTAGGCATTTACAGCATGGGAACCAGAGATAACATATTGATGCCAAATCAGCCTGAAAAGATAAATGAATGAGCAATATTTAAAAAAATATTAATAGCTGCTGAAGCAACTTTACGTTTGGATTTGTCAACTGTGCATGTACGAGGGTTGGTTGAAAAGTATTAAGCCTAAGTGTGATAACTCTTAATTGGATAACGTCCCGTGACAATAAAATATATGCCTATGAATATACAACCCGCTTGGATATTCCAAACTACCACTTGCTTCCCAAAACGAAGCCAGTCCTCGTACCTTATAGTAATAGTCAATAATGTTTGTATTTGCCATATATATTTGTAATCACGACGAGACCTTACATACGTCTCATAATTTTGGAACTTAACATGGATATTTTCTTTTGCATTGTATGTATTATTTCTAAATTTTTTGTCTCTATTGTTCCTTTCATTACTTTCTATGAAAAAATATTTTTGAACATTTTAAACATTCTGAAAATTTCATGTTGCATGCAGTTTGTCTTATTTTGGTCTCTTACGTCAGAGATGCTGGATCCCTTGTTGTTCTTTTTAAATGAAAGTAACTTCCCGACTGATATGAACCTTTTTCTATAAAAACAATCGGTGACGCTGTCAAAATTGAATATGAATACTTACCCGAAAACTTTCATTTAAAAAGCCATAAATAATTGGATTAGCAAAACTATTGGACATGGCTAACCAATGAACACAATAATAAATAGCAGTAAACATTTCTTCTTGAGCTGTGGTCTTGTAATTGAGCAACTCGGGATTAAAATCTATGACGAGGAAGAATGTATGTAGAGGCAACCAGCATAAACCAAACATCAAAATGATTATGATTAACATTTTAACGACCTGAAATCATAAAGTCAATCATTTTATTTCTGTACAATCAATGGAAGAATAGATATACATATCCCTATGGCAGCATTTTGGAGCAGTAAAAAATTGGTAAAGAACATTCGATGTAGGAAATTAGTCCTAGTTAACGGACCTCCCACTACAGGTGCATCAGTTGACAGGTCGGCTTCGGCGTCTTTTGAGGATTTTCATGGAAAAATTGAAGATTCTTCCAGGAAAAATTGACTTGGGTCTCAATGTTTTATGACAGCACATGTACTGTATGCAGTCAATTAGAGTGTGTATTATGATTATAGTCAATATGCGATACTCCTTAAATTGAAGCCGTGGATCAGACGATCAAAAGATGCAATAAAGTGGCACCCTGCACTTGCACCACTGTTTGTATTTTTCTCAAGTTTAAGAAACGTACCAAATGTTTACAATCAATAATACAGAGTAAACTGCACCCTTTGTAAAACCATTTTCCATAGGTCCGTTAGGATACCGGTTTAGAGGGATTTCACTGTACTCGAGTTAAGTTAATCTCCTTTATCAATTCTTGTATAAATCAAATTTCGAAAATAGCTTCGCAAGGTTTATTCCTAGATGTAATTTGGTTTAATGTCCTTTTTATGCATCTGATTGCTGGTGCTGGCTAATTAATGCAAATAACAGCACGCAATCTTATCAGGATAGTCACAAAAAGGAATCCAATTTTTCTTGCCATCGTGGATTTGACTGTATATATGTAAATATAGAACATCCTGAAAGCTGATTTTTTTCCAACTTCCTCGAAAAATTGGATATAAAAAAATAGCATTTTAGTATACAATTGAGCTGTCCTTAAAGAATATAGTAATAAACCTCCAGGCTTTTTTCGAGCGTGATGATCTGTGGCACTCGTGAGGTACAATATAGTTCTTACGTTATGTACCATACATTGCTATAGTAAATTATATTACAGTTACGTGACAAACAAATAAAAGATCAAAATCTCATATCAAACCAAACACACGACCATATAAAAATAGAGCAACATTTGCTATAACCTCTAAATTGGAATAACCGACACTGTCTAATATGTACAAGTGACATTGCGTGATTGAGAAACCTTTGAAAGGATTTATATACCATCTAGTCGGAATGGATAAATAATTTCGGAATTAAACTTTATTAAATGTCTGAAATTAACGGGATATTTCCGTTTACCGGTTACATTGAATTTCCATCTTGGTAGATTTTACGAATAAACCATGTCTAGACCTCTTCCTAACATACGTTACCCCGGGTTAAGAGCAATACTTTAACCTCACGGAATTCCATACAAATATACCATTGTAAAACAAACAACGTGCACATAATATAACCAACCGTTAAAGGGACATATTGGGGGTTGATTTGAGTCTTGAATATATGTATATGATCTTCACAAGTACTATAAATGTACGAAAATCGCAATTGCGGATAATTCTGGACACACATGGATTTGAAGGCTCAAATTTTGATGGTGAGCTGTGACCACTTTTACTGGTTAGTTTAGCTAAAAAAATCCATTTCTGAGACTAAAGTATGATTGGTATAAAATGGCATATAAT